CTCTGCTCCCCGACGTTCCCTCCGGTTTGCGTAGCACTCTCCTTCTCGGTGCCCTCGCCGCCCACACCTCATGCAGCTGGGCGCTTCCGGGAACTCCCTCCGCATGTGCGCGCGATCGCCGCACATCGAACACGCGGCTAGATTGCGGCAGTCCTGGCGCAGGTGACCCGGCTGTCCGCAGTTGTGGCAGCGGCGCCCCTCCGCTCTCACCCGATCCTCCGCTTCCGGATATGCCGGCGCCGCCGCCCATGCAGGCTGCCTTCTTTCCGGCCCCCGATCCACCGATCATTCCACCTCGAACAGTCGCCGACCCGTTTCCACCCGCTTCACATCTCATCGGCTTCCTTCAGCGTCGCTTCTAGTCCTAACTCGAACACCCGCACCCGCAGAGTGAAGCTCAGCCCGTGGATGAATTTTCCGATCAGCCTACGCTAATCTTGGCAGTTCATGTCTTCCCCAAGCTCCACCAGCCGCCCATAATATGCGAGTAGCGATTCGCATTCCCGCCGTTTGAACCTGCGAAATTCCACCACCCGCTCTGCTGTCTGCAGGGGAAATTGTTCTCGCAGCATTGCCACGAAACGCGCCGTCGGATCTCGCTCCCCTGGTGCGCGCCCCGCCGCCCATTGCAGCAACTCTTTTTTTGAAATTCGATCGTAGGTCTCTGCCTCACCCGCCAGAGTGTTAGCTAGCCCCCGAAAGACCTCCTCTGGATCCAGTCGGTCTTTCTGCCAGCGTGCTCGCAAATTCTCCAGCTGCATGATATAATTCTTCAAGGACGGACCCCGCCTCGCGTCACCCGAGAATCGTTCCGGGACCTCATTTTTTGGGAGTTACATATACCTCCAGCGCTGCATTGACGCCTCTTGCTCCGTGCCCTGCCATGATGCACTCCGCTGATAGCCACTCGGCCCTTCTTGTCGAAATTGTGTTGGGGGATCGCCCCGCTGCCCTTCTCCCGATCCGCCGGGTGCACGCTCTACTCCGCCCGTCGCCCCCGCCTGAGCGCCTCCCTGCAGCCCGGTCGCTCTATCACTGGGCACATTAAGCCCGTCCGATGCTCCTTGCTTTGGCGACTGACTCGCGTCCGGCCGCTCCTCACCTTCTCCTGCCATCTTCTCACCACCAGCTTTCTTAAGCTCGTTCCCTGCCAACTCTCTTCCGGAGTGCAATCGCATAGACGAGGCGTGTATGTCAGTTCAGACCCTTCCTACATCCTCCGGACTGCTTGTTATGGCTTCGCTAAGAACTGCTTATATTGAGAATGAAATCACAGTAGTTATGAAAACATACTGTACACGGAGTGGCAGTCCCATGGCCCAGGGTTCCTCCTTATGCTTCCCTCTCTAGCCTAGCTAGGCAACTCTAGCAGGTGAATGCCACAGACCTAGCTTGCTACCCAGATATTTCACTGCCTTCAACCAGCTGGGGTGCTGTATTCCAACTCCTCCTGAACTCGGTGTCTGCAAAGAGAAACAAACATATTCGCATGCACACCACTCAAACATCGCATTCGCAAGCATTCACACGTTAACTCGTAGGCCACCCTGTTACCCTGCCACCCTCCTTGTTCCCGTCGCCGCCCTCGGACGTTTCCCTCTTTGGATCTATCCCACTACCAAGTGTCCCGCCCACCTCCCTGAAATCTTCCCCTTTGTCCTCGGTTTGCTGAGCCTCAGTTATGTACAAATGTACAGCCCCCCCTTTCTTCCTAACACCCCTGTCAGAAAGTCTTAGGCGTCAAACCTCATAAGTCTTCCTAACTTGAAGATTCGGCGCTTGAAATCGCGACGCTCACGGTGGAACGCGACTCCTCCCGAAAGCAATCAACGGCGAATGCACCAGCACCAGCATCGACGCACGCAAATGCACCCGCGCAGTCGGATGAGCCGATCGTCATCTCGTCTGGCACACCTTCACAACACGACAGCGTGGGACAGCGCTCAGGCGCAGCCAGTGATGGCGCCGCCCAATCGATGCCAGGCATGGAGAGGAACAGGGCCGCACCAAGCACGAATGGGCCTCGTGAAGCCCGTCATCACGTCGAATTTGCAGCGACAATCGGCAACGATGACATCGGCGCACCAATGCGGCTCAAGCCGCAGCCAACGCGGAGGTCCGACGGTTCAGTCGTGGTCATCACGATGAACGTCTTCTTCGACGTGAATTACGTCACGTCGGACGCAGCGAAGATACGATACGCTGTTTCGCTGCTGCGGGGCCCCGCCATGGACTGGTGGCGAGTCATCGTGACGTCGCCACGCGCCTACGAGCCGCCGTCGCAAGAGGAAGGGCCCACGGGGCCAGCTGTCAGCTGGAGTTTATTCTGCGACACTGCCCAATACAGCACGTGGGGCGCGTGGTGTGCAGGGCTTCGGGCGCGCTTCGAGCCGATCGCAGTTTCTAGTTCGGCGCGTCAGAAACTACGCACTTGGCGGCAACTCGGGTCGGTTCAAGACTACACCAGCGGTTTTCTCGCACTAAATGAGCAAGTCGGCTACATGCACGAGGCAGAGCGAGTGGATCGTTACGTCAGTGGGCTGAAGCCGGACACCTCGCACGAAATCATGCTTCGCGGGCTTTCGAACTTCAACGAAATCATCGCGCTCGCCAAGAAAATCGACATTCTACGCCGTCCAAGATCGGGGTCCTACTACAGACATCGCCCTCGGGGACCAACCGAGCACGCCACTGTATACGCTGTTGCAGCGAGCGCAACTGCCGCGCCATTTAAGGGCCAGGACATCGCAAGAGCGAATGCCCAGAAGAGCTAAGGCGACGTAGAGCAGAGCAGGGGGGGAGTCTGGGAGGCAGAGAAACGCCAACAGTCAGTAGAGACCGGGCCCATACTGACGAGACTCACTACTCGCCCGACCCCACCGACCCTCACCGAGTCACAGTACCGATTCGCGCAAGCGATCGGGCTCGGCTGAATAAGGAGGGTACTGTATAATTCCACTAATATAGCAGCTTGATACAGCAGCTTGATAGAGCTCAAAAGCACGATTCCAACACACCAAAGATTGCAGGAAACGGTCCACTATGGCTAGAGATACAAACAAACATAGCAGTGATAATAACTTAGTTGATTTCTGGGTTGTGCTCTCTGGTTTTATACTAGTACGCAATACAAAAACAAAGCACACAAGAAAGTGTCGACCCGGGTCGCACGTTGAATTTCGTCGACGCGAAATTCCGAGCCTTGAATTTTGCCAGGCGAATTCCATTTACTGGAATACCGTGGACGAAAATTTCCGCGACCAGAGTTCCGTCGACCACCGACTGTAACTCTTGTGCGAATTCCGCTGACTTCGGCACTTCGTTGCCAAGTTTCAAACCGAACGCGACCCGAGATCGATTTCGCCAAACTGTCCCCAATCTGTCCCCAATCTGTCCTGACAAGACACTTTCGGGACACTTGAATCGAAAGGTCTCCTGTTCGAAACTCGCGTGCACCATAACCAGCACCTTAGCAGAAACTGTCCTGAATTTGTCTTGAGACGCTTTCAGTACAAATTTGAAGGTCACGAGTTAGAATCCCAGCGCCGACATTTTGTTGCTCATGGCAGCATTTCCTTCTAACATGCCCCCTTGCTGTCAGGAGCACGATGGACCAGCCCGGCTACTGCACAGCATCGGTTAAAGGCTGCCTTGTCGAGCCGCTTAGTGAAGAAGTCCGCGGGCTGCGCTGTCGTAGGGATGTGCTGCAGCTCCATCTTCTTCATGCGCACCATGTCCTGCAGCCACATGTGGCAACGGTTCACATGCTTCATGCGCCCCTGCAGCCCGCCCGCCTGGCTGAGCTGCACCGTTGACATGTTGTCGACGTACAGGGTAGTGGGAACACCCTTCTTGAGCAGCTGAAGCTCCCACAGCAGGAACCTTGGCTTGCGCCCCTCCTTTCCCGCTTCCACCGCAGCCACAAGCTCGCTCTCAGTGGAGGATAGTTTGGTCGCACCCTGCAGCTTCTTAGCCTGCCAGGAAACGGCAGCTTCGCTAAGCTTGAAGAGGTAGCCTCCTGTGGATGACCGGTTCTCCTTGTCGCCCACATCATCCGCATCCACGTACCCCGCAAGGGTCAAATTCTCTGGTCCTGCCTTCAACAGAAGCCCCATGTCCGGTGAGGCAGCCCAGTAGGAGAGTGTGCGGAAGAGCTCATGCCAATGCACATCCGTCTTGAGGTGTAACAAGTACTCAGTCATGGTACGGTTGGCAAACTGCCCGGCATCCTGCTTGGCAAAGCTGTCAGAGGAGAGAGGAGTGATCGGCTGCTTCTTCGGTGGCGCCCCCTTGAAGAACCGCTGCTGCACCTTCGCCACGTATGCATTCTGGTGCAGGAGGAGTGTCCTCTTGGGGCGGTCGCACATAATCTGCTGCCCTAGGTAGCGCTCCACTGGCTCCACCTCATGGAGCTGAAACGCCTTGGCCGATAGCTCCTTCGGGTCCTGCAGCAGCTGCTTGTCTTCACTTGCCGCTCGCAGGTCATCCACATAGATTAGCAGCCACACGCGCTTCCCGCACGCCCCATCCTTGTAGTATAGGGCCTGGTCCACAACGCTCTTCTTGCACCCCTCCACAAGGAGCACCTTGTCCAGCTCCTTGTACCAGAGAAGGGTTCTTTGCTTTAGCCCGTAAAGGCTCTTCTGCAAGAGCCTTGCTGCTCCTGTCGGTCAAGTACGGCGGCTGCTGCATGTAGATCTTGTGGTCGATGGTGTCGTGAAGAAACACATTCTTCATATCAAGCTGCAGCGAATCCAGGTCCATAGCTGTTGCGATTGAGAGGAGCACACGGACGGTGGTGTAGCTGCCAACCGGAGCATAGGCGTCGTCGTAGTCGATGCCGGAGTGCTGGCTAAATTCCTTTGCCACGAGCCGTCAGGTCGCAGCTTCTTCTTCAGCAGCCACTTGACGCCGACAGTTTTGCGACCTTCGGGTAGGTCAGCCAACGTCCAAGTGCCTTGCTCATCAAGGCTCTCCATCTCCTCCTTCATAGCAGCCCACTATTCCTTGCCTTCATGTCCGGTCAACGCAGCTGCCAGGTCGAGGATGACACCTCCCCAAGCACCTTCCTCTTCCTCATCCTCGTCCGGATACTCCACTTCGTCATCGCTGTCCGTGTCGCAATCGTCCTCAGTAAGGTACGCCACGTCGTACGGGTTGTCCTTATCGTCTGCATCCTGGGCCGTCATGGATAATGGCTGAAACCGTACGAGTGGCACCCCCGTGTTAGGCCTGCTGGAGCGACGTGGGGGTGGTGGAATGGGCTGGATGGGGGAAACTGCAGGTGAAGGCTCATGCTCATGGGCCATTGGTGATTGCTCATCCACTGCTACTTCTTCTTCTTCGTCTTCGTGATCAGCCATGCTGGTGCCAACCTCCAGAGGACCATCCTCTAGTCCCACGAGCGCCGAATCAGCAACGGAGGGTAGACCGAGAGGAGGAGGTGTAGTAGGTGCCTTGCTACTCAAAGGGCCCACCGAGCGATCAAAGAGTTGCTCGCCCTCTTGCACGGACGGCACCGGGACCATGATGATGGAACGTGACAGCGGCTGATTCTGCTCAGGGCCATGGACCATCCTAAGAACCTCCCCCTCTCGCTCGTCAGGCAGCGGAAGTGTTTGACGAGTGAGTTTGGCTTCTTGGGAGGAGGCGCTCGACGTGTCCTCCCCTCCTTTTTCTAGGTCCATAACTAGCACACCACCATTTGTGGCTGTCCACTTCACCGCACCAGCATAGTCATTCTCAAGGTGAGTGTGCTGCAGGTTGAGCATCGCCTCGATCTCCACCGCATATGTTGTGAGGCTGGCCGCTTCGTCATTCTCTTCCGGCTCGCTTGGCACCACCTCAGCAGCTGCCTTAGTGATGCCGTTGCAAGTCACTGCAGCCGCCGCAGCCACCGTATCGATGCATGCCACCGCAGCCACCGTGCTGTTGCATGTTGCTGCAGCCGCCGTGCCGTTGCATGCCGCTGCAACCACCGTGCCATTGCATGCCGCTCCAGCCGTCGTACCGGTGCAAGCCGCTGCAGACACCGTGTCGTTGCATGCCGCTCCAGCCATTGTGCCGTTGCTTGCTGGCCACGGTTTCAGGTCAAGGTAGAGAAGACGATGGCGGTAGCGTGCTGTTGCAGCCGCTTGTCCTCTCGATGCAATGATGCGGGTGACACCTTCTTCGTTTTGCAGATTTGCTCCTTTGTCCGTGAGCTGCCCAGGGGAGACACAGTTGGCCTTCATTCCTAGCACAAAGAGGACATCATGCAGGGTCACACGCAAACCGTTAGTGCCCTCGAGTAAAACCTCGCCAATACCGGCAACTTCCTGCATAGACCCATCAAACCCTTTGACAGATTTCGTTGCAGATGGGTCATCGATCATCGTGAACCACTCCTTTCGGCCGGTCATGTGTTGGGAGCATCCTGAGTCAAGGAACCTCAAGTCATTGTCGACGGCCAGCAACTTTGCAGCCGAACACGCGACGGTGAGCGCCACGCCCTTCCCATCTCCTTCAGCTACGTTTACGGCTGCCGCGGGTGTTGCATTCTTCTTCTTGTTGGGGCACTTGGCAGCCATGTGACCCTCCTCATTGCAATTGTAGCAGCGCCCCTTGCTTCTTCTCCCGCTTGCCATCATTCTTCTTGTCCGTCTGCTCCCTTCCCCCTTTTCCTTCCTTCCCATTGACCCCCGTTGTAGCCACGATGGTGTTGACAGCGCCCGAGAAAGTAGATGCATCGTTGGTCTGCTTGTAACTCTGTTCAATGGAAAGAGTATGCTCCTCTATCAACGCCTCGCTGCACACGCGTTCCACCGTCATGTCAGGGCTGGAAATTTCGAGCTTGCGGCGAAGAAATCCGTACTTCGGTGGCAGGTCCTTCAGCACGTGAGCGGCAAACGTGACCATGTGGACCTCCTGTCAAATGGTCAGCAACACCGCTCGGATGGTGCGGGCCCTATTGCAGTAGGATTCCACCATCTTATCATCTCCCTTCCTGAGTTGGGCTAACTGGGTCTGAAGTAGGGAAGCGTGGAGGGCATCACGAGCTTGATAAGTAGACAAGATATATGCCCATGCTAGCTGCCCGGCTTTCTCCTGCTGAGAGAAACCAAAGATAGACATTCAGATGGGTGGATAAACACAGCGGTTCAACACCATGAATGCAAGCATTTGGCCCTTTGCGTACTCCCTTCGTTGCAAGGAATTGTTCGAGGCCGGGCTTGGTGCTGTCCCGTTGCAAAACTGCCACAAATAAGCACACTGGAGCTGAGGTCGGACGGCGCTGACCCACGCGGTAAGGTCGTGCATTCCCTCCAGCAGCGGCGTCACGAAGATGTGCTCAACTCCAAACTTGTATTGACCATAGCTCGTGCCGATCATTCCCATGTCAATCGTCGGTACAACAGCTCCTCCATCAATGCCCACGGCACCAGGAGCCTCGTGCTCAGCTCCTTGCTGGGCGCCCCCAGATGGTTGCTCCGCTGCACACTCCCGAACCATGCGTAGTAGACGACCATCCACAATGAGGTCGATCTCCTCATCACACAAGTTAGGGTGGTGCTCACGAACGGATGCCTCCAGCTCCTGACGGGCATTCAGGCCCTCGGCACTTGTTAACCACTCCATCCGCAGTCAAAACTAGCGTCGGCCACACCAACGTGGGAATGAAGCGACGGAAGGACGGAATCAAGCCGCTAGTTAGATCGACGCAGATAAAGCAGCTCTGCTGTAGAATTCCACTACTAAAGCAGTTTGATAGAGCTCGAAAGCACGATTCCAACGCACCAAAGATTGCAGGAAACGGTCTTCTATAGCCAGAGATACACACAAACATAGCAGTGATAATCTACGTTGGCAGATACGGTTTGGGCAGGGTTGCGTACCACGTATATACGCTTGCGCATGTACGTGGTACGCTAATACGCTCGGAATCTGGGAAATACGCCCGGGCAGCCCGCAAATTTTGTTTTTTTTCGAAATTGAATAATTTCGCGAAGGTTTTGCGACTTTGCGATTTGTTACCGCGAAGTCGCACATCGCCCAACCCACTTTTGAAATTCAATTTTCATAAACCAAACCTCCCAGTACTCCAACCACACACCACCTCACCAAACCTCTCATATCCAACCACGCCTCTCAAATGTTGTTCAGCAAGGCATCTGCTCAAAGGATGACGAGTTCCTTTGTGTCTTTCAATTTCCGTTCTCGTTTTCAATCACGTAGCTCTCTTCTTCTCCTGTTTTTCCTCATGGCGTCTAACTCCACCCCTCCAACCACGACTAGCAATGTTGCCTCTGTTCACGCATCTAGTAGCGGAATCAATACGGAGCCTGTTGAGGCTGGCCTTTCGAACCCAATTTTGAAGCATTTCCTTATTCCGTACCATACCAAAGGCACTCCCAAGATGTGTAAGTTTTGTGACTTCACGTTTAAGGGCGGAACCACTCGCTGCGCGGTTCACCTCGCCAAATGGAAAGGGCATGATAAACGCGCTGTCTGGCTTTGCAAGAAGATGTCCCCGGCAGTCAGTGAGGAAGTGCGCAGCATATACGAGGAGAAGGGGGAAAAGCAGGGCGTGAAACGAGGGGCGGCCGCTGCAGCAATCGACTCCGCGCTGGGCGCGGTCACTGGTTTACCGGATAAGAAGGAGAAGATAACGTCCTTCTTCGGCAATGAGGCGACGTGCGCCAAGGAGGACGCGGATAACGCCCTCTGCCTTATGTTCGTGGCGTTGAGACTTCCCGAGCGCATCGCGGATGACCCGGTCTTCCGCTACGCGGTCCAGTGCATTGCGCGTGCTGGACCGGGGTACGTTCCCCCCCAAGAGGCGCTTCATTAGATGGGCGGGCTTGAAGAAGGTGCGGCAGAAAATGGAGGTCGCGCTCGCCCCCGTAGTCGCAAGCTGGAAGCGGGACGGGGTCACCGTGTCGTCGGACATGATGACTGACCGTTGTGGCCGCCCGCAGGCCAACGTGCTCCTTGTCAACAACTCCGGCGCAGTTTTCGAGCAAGCCGTCGACTGCCACATGGAGTCGAAGACCGGGGGGTACATTGCTAGCCTTCTCCGCCCCGTCATTGATGAGGTGGGGCCGGAGAATGTGGTGGCGGTCTGCACTGATGGCGGCAGCAACTATGCATCGGCAGCCACGAAGATTGCGAGCACATGGCCGCACATTGAGCATGTGCCATGTGCCACGCATGTCCTGGACCTGATGATGGAAGGCGTGGGCAAGATGGGATGGGCGCAGGGGCTCGTGGAGAAGGGAGAGATGATGATTAACTTTGTGCGCAACCACCACTTCACCCGTGCTTACATGAAGTAGGGTGGGGAAAAACAGGTGCTCAAGCCCGCGGGGACCAGATTCGGGACGCAGTACATAGCTCTGTCCCGGCTATGCGAGGTGAGGGGTGGGCTGGCAAAGATGGTTCTCAGCGACGAGTGGAATGAGTGGGCAGTGGGGGACAAGGACAGGAAGATTGCAGCCGAGAAGTTCAGGGCTGCCGTGATGGATGAGGAGTGGTGGGGGCTGGCGGGGTTTTTTACCTCTCTCATGGCGGTGCCCTTCAAGGCCATGCGGGTCACGGACTCCTCGGCGAAGGGGATGATGGGTAAGATGTATGATATCATGCTACAGCTTACCGAAGACATCAATGACAAGTTGGATGATGCAGGCGATTTCTTGAGTCGGGGAGAAAAGGCAGAGATCACCCGGATTGTGAAGGACAGGTGGGACAACTCCCTTGCCTGCCCCATGCATGTGGTTGGCCGGATCCTGAATCCGGCCAACCAGGTGGATAGGATTTTCAGGAACGATGTGGAGTGCACGCGGGTGTTCAACGACTACATCGAGCGCCACTACGACAACAAAACCTTCAGGCGTGGCAAGGATGGCGCCCCTCGCCGCGCCTCCCTTGTGCTGCAGGAGGCACTGCTGGCCTACATCAACATGGAGGGCAGCTTTGGCACGCCAGGCGCCATATCTGCAAGGGAGGCAGTGAAGAAGGGGGAGATGACCATGGTGCAGTGGTGGTCGTGGCACAGCACCGAGTACCCTGAGCTTGCCACCCTCGCATGCCGGGTGCTCACTCAGCCCGTCTCGGCTTCCCCATGCGAACGTGGCTGGGCGCAGTGGGAAGGCGTCCACACCGCCCGCCGCAACCGGCTCGGGTCCGCCAAGTGTGCGGACCTCGTCTACATTGCGCACAACTGGAACGATGTGCGCAATTGGTACAATAAGGATGGGGACAGCACGGTTGTGCCCGGTAACATCCCGGATGCCCCTATCCCCCCTGGCTATAACATGGATGAGGAGGAGGATGACATGCTGGGGGCGGAAGGAGAGGATGCAGTTCTGGCGGATGAGTATGGGGAAGGGGCGGTGTTGGAAAAGCCCCGCAAGGAAATCTAGAGGGTGGGGTGGGGATGTATGTATGGGGAGAAGTAGCCCCGAAGATGTATTCTGGATATTTATGAAATTAAATTATGACATGTGTTTTTGGGAAACATACCCCCCCCCCCCCCCCCCCCCCTCACATGTTTTTTTATCCCTGCTCGGAAAAAAAAAATTACCTGCCCACCCAGCATATTTTTACGTATCACGTACGCCAGATAATGGAGTCGTCAAGGATCTGAAGCTGAACAGACAGCCACTCGATGACAACCGTGAAATATGTTTGCTCTCAAAGTTTACCCGTTTTCCCTTACATAGTGTGGTTGGAGGAGCAAGAATCATTTGGAGCTGGTCCACGTGGACTTGGTGGGGCCGTTGCCGGTGCAACCGTACAAGGGGGAGCGGTATTTCCTAACCATAGTGGATGACCGGACCACAGGGCCCTGGCGTACCGCGTATATACCCAGCGTATAATACGCTAGCGAATTATACGTGATACTCGTATTTGCCAACGTAGGTGATAATGACTTAGTTTATTTCTGGTTTGTGCTCTCTGGTTTTATACCATGACGCAATACAAAAACAAAGCACACAAGAAAGTGTCGACCCGGGTCGCACGTTGAATTTCGTCGACGCAAAATTCCGAGCCTTGAATTTTGCCAGGCAAATTTCATTGACTGGAATACCGTAGACGAGAATTTCCGCGACCTGAATTCCGTCGACCAACGACTGTAACTCGTGCGAATTCTGTTGACTTCGACACTTCGCTGCCGAGTTTCAAACCGAACGCGACCCGAGATCGATTTTGCCAAACTGTCCCCAATCTGTCATTACAAGACCCTTTCGGGACACTTGAATCGAAGGTCTCCAGTTCGAAAATCGCGTGCACCATAACCCGCGCCTTAGCAGAAACTGTCCTGAATCTGTCTTGAGGCGCTTTCATGACAGATTTGAAGGCCACGAGTTCGAATCCCAGCGCCGACATTTTGTTGCTCAAGGCAGCATTTTCTTCTAGCAGGTACAGTGATGGATTGCCCAATACCGATTCACAGAAGAATACAGGGGGTAGCAGTGAAGTTTTTTATAGACGGAGGAGCAAATCACGGTTTAGTTAGTACCGCGACTGCACGGAAGCTGCAACTGACGCTTAGCCGTTGTTTACCAGAGATCGACGCACGCTTAGTTGACGGCACACCACTGGCCATACGGGAGAAAGTGGAGAAAGTGAAAGTTCGCTGCGGGGGGAACTTCGGGTTTACACAGGAAATGCCCGCGACGACACTGGATGGGCACGACATATTACTAGGACGTGATTGGCTGCAACGCTACAACCCACGAATTGACTGGACGATGGGTAGCTGCACTATGCGAAGTAGTGGTAACTCGGTTGAACTACCTCGCTGGCGGTCACCAGAGTCTTCAACGGTCCACGTCAACGCATCACGATGAAACGGGTTGTCGCCGCTGGAGCTGACGTGTACATGGTGGATATCGCATTGGTGGGAGAAGCAGAGCAGCCGAGTGGTTTTCAGAAACTGCTGGCAGTTGTACCACCCGAGCTACAGGAATTACTGAAACGGTACCCGGGGATCTTTCCGGACGACTTACCGGAGGAACTGCCACCTCAGCGAGCACATGTCCACCGCATAGAACTAGAACCGGGGGCACGGCCAACCTTACAGCGACAATTCAGACTGACACAGCCCGAGCTCGACGAACTGAGGAAACAGTTAGATTACCTATTAGACGAAAAAAACATCCGATCGAGCTCGTCACCGTTCGTCGCACCGATACTGTTCACACCGAAAAAAGACGGGGGGTTTCGCATGTGTATCGACTACCGTGCACTAAACAGGGTAACAGTCAAGTCGCGATATCCCATCCCTCGCGCTGACGAACTGATAGATCGCCTGCGAACAGCACGGGTTTTTTCGAAAATCGACTTACGGGGAGGTTACCATCAGATTAGAATCGAACCATCGGACTGCGCCAAAACAATTTTCAGGACTAGATACGGATCATTCGAATACACCGTGATGCCATTCCGGCTGACCAACGCACCGGCGACTTTCCTAAAGACCATGAACGAAGCGTTTAGACCAATTTTAGATAAATGCGTCATAGTTTACCTCGACGACATCCTGGTCTACAGTCGCGACAAGCAGCAGCACTTAGCAGACTTGGAAGCAGTGTTCTAAATTCTAGACCAGAATCGCCTACTGACCAAGGGTTTGATGTGTGAGTTTTTCAAGACCAGTTATAGTTTCTGGGGCACACCATTTCGGAGGTTGGAGTTGGGATTGACCCAAAAAGGTTAGACACGGTAAAAGCGTGGCGCCCTCCGACCAACATCACGGAACTGCAAAGTTATTTAGGGTTCGTTAATTACGTCCGTTGGTTCGTCCCCGACATGGCGCGCTTAACAGCCCCACTGATGGATTTACTGCGGAAGGGAGTGGCGTTTTCGTGGGGGGAGAAAGAGCATGCTGCCTTCTCTGCCCTACAAAATGTTATTTGTTCACCGCCCGTACTGCGCATTGCCGACCCACACCGCCCATTCGAAGTAGTTACCGATGCAAGCGACATCGCAATTGGAGCCGTACTGCTACAGGACTTCGGCAACGGCCTACAACCCATCGCTTACGAGTCACAAAAAATTGCATCCGCCCGAGAAAAGTTACGCGATACACGACCGCGAAATGCTCGCGATACACGACCGCGAATTGCTCGCGGTCAAAGCGTGGTGCTGTTACTTGATCGGTGCAGACGTGGCAGTACGGACAGATCATAAATCACTACAGTACCACTGCACACAGCCCCGCCTCAACCCACGACATGTTCGTTGGCTCGACTTCCTCGAGTCAAATTTTCACTACACGGTCACCTACAAAAGGGGGCATCAAAAACATCGCCAACGCCCCACTGCCCAAATTTATGACATACTACTCGCCCAGACCAGCCCACTGCTTACGGGACTATTTACCAACGGCTACCAAACAGACCCATTCTTCACCGGAGGAAACTCGCAGCAATTCGCAGCAGCAAAGGGGGTTTATTACGTAAAAGTCGGCACCGATCGCATCTGGGTACCGGGCTACACCTTACTGTGGGAATTACTGCTACAAGAGGCACATGACGGAGTCACCTCAGGACATTTCAGAGTAGAAAAAACACGTCAGCAGCTGCAGCGGTACTACTACTGGCCCGAGATGCTGACCGACGTGCAACGACACGTGGTGTCGTGACCCACCTGCAACTGATGAAGTCATCACGGAATCGGCCGGCGGGACAATTGCAGCCGATACCACCCCCATAACGTGCTTGGCAGCAGGTGACGATGGACTTCGTCACAGGGTTACCGGCCGGAGCAAGTGGGGACGACGCGATCTTGGTCGTCGTCAATCGGTTGACGAAGATGGCACACTTCGTAGCCTGCAAGAAGTCAATCACAGCCGAAGAAACAGCTCGGCTCTTCATCACCACTGTCGTCCGACTGCACGGGATACCAGCGGCGATCATCAGCGACCGCGACACAAAATTCGCCAGAAACTTCTGGCGGAACCTGTGGCAGCAGTTCGGCACACGACTACAGTTCAGTTCATCATATCACCCCAAAACTGGTGGACAAACAGAACAGACAAATCAGACCATGGAACAGTTAATCCGAGCCACGTGCGACGATCCAACTACGTGGGAACAGCAACGGCCACTCATTGAATTTGCATACAACAACTCCCCATCCGCCACGACCCAACATCGCCATCCTAAACTACGGACAAGACCCCACAATACCCATGACCCCGAATCCCAACAACCCGGTGCCACGCGCGCAATAGTTTGCATAAACTTTACATGCGGCACGGACCCGAACAGCAGACGCGATAAAAAAAGCGAACATCGTCGTTAAACACAACGCCGACCGCCACCGCCGTCCTGTCACTTACCAGCCCGACGACCTTGTATTACTCGATACCGAGAACCTCTGCCTGCCCATCACCCCAAAGCTCCACCCCCGATATTGCGGGCCATTTCGCATCAGCCACATGATTACCCCCGACACTTCCCATCTCCTCCTTCATCTTGACTGGTACGTCAGCCCGTCATTCCATGTCCGCCTGCTTCGTCAATACGTCCCGTCCACCAGCCAGCTGCCTCGCAACCGCCCAGCCAGCATGACACGATTGTGCACAGAGCCAATGATCATGCCCGAAAAAATACTGAGCCACAGAGTTCGTGACCCACGAGGGGCTTGTAGGATCGAAATTCTGATCCGGTGGAAGGACCGCACACCGACTGAAGACAATGGGGTGACAAACTTATATGTTGTGTAGGCTGTAGTGGGGTAGCCCACATGGGGTACAACCCAATTAGGGTTAGTACTTGTACCCATCTTGCTGCTAGTTCATTCATTCTCGTTCCTATGTCTTACATGGTTTCAGAGCAGGTCCTCTCCTAGGACCGTTTTTTTTTTAGGGCCCACCGAATCGCGTTACCTCACACGCCGCCCTGCTAACGCTGCACTGCCCTGCGCCGCGCCGCCCCGCGTACGCCCTGCCCTGAGTCGCGCCGCCCGCGCGCGCCCTGCCTTGTCCGCGCGCCACTCGCCGCCGCGCGCCCTGCCCTGCCCGCGCGCTACTCGCCGCCGTGCGCCCTGCTCTGCCCGCGCGCCGCTTGCCGACGCGCGCCCTGCCCTGCCCCGCGCTGCTCGCTGCTGCGCGCCCTGCCCTGCCCGCACACCGCTCGCCGCCGCGCGTCCTGCCTTGCCCACACGTCGCTCGCCGCCGGCACCCTGCCCTGCCTGCGCGCCACTCGTCGCCGCGCGCCCTGCCCTGCCCGCGCGCCTCTTGCCGCTGGCCCGCCTTCCCTGCCCGCGCGCCCTGCTCTGCCCACGCGCCGCCCGCCGCCGCGCCGCCTGTCCTGCCTGTGCGTCGCTTGCCGCTGCGCCACCTGCCCTGCTTGCGCGCCACTCTCCGCTGCGCCGCCCTGCCCTGCCTGCACGCCGCCGTGCTGGCCGCCGC